CGAGCTCAGCTTTTGATTATGGGAAATCCATGGTTACTGCCACGCTATACTGCTATGCCTTTTGTTTGGACTGCTCGATTGCTTTTCAGTGGGATGTGCAGTCATCTTCTGCACTCCAATTGCTAGTAGAATATCTATAACTCCATGACCCAAATTTCCATAATTTTGATGCAGAGAAAACCCTGAGATGTACTTGGAGAAGTTGCGAACCAAATATAAAGAGCTTTCAGAAAAAGTTGAACAGAAGAAGCTGTTAAAGACGAATGGAAACAACACGAATGGAAATTCTACATCTGGTGGTGTCGGTCGCGGTGAGAGGATGAATGCTGCAAAGAAAGAGAGAATGCGCCTATTAACAACAGCTGCTTTTGATCGAGGGAAAGGTGAAGACACTTTTGGCGCTAGAGATGAAGATTGGCAACTCTACAAATTAATGAGTAAAGATAATGATGATGAGGATGAGGGTCCTGATGTAGATGAGACAGAGTTAGCACGCATCTCTTCTAGACTCCAGGCAAGTTAAGGTGTCATGTTCAGTCTGAGCAAATATATTTTAAGTGGATGCTGCAGTTCTTACACACACACACATATATATATATATATATATATATATATATATATATATATATATATATATATATATATATATATATATATATATTTAATTTGTTGCAGGATATTGACCCGACCTTCACTCCAAAACCAGACTCTGGATTGTGCCAACCTGCTGATGTTCCACGTGCTCGTCCTCTCACCAAGGAGGATTTCCAGATTATAATGGGGGTTGAAAGATTCCGATGCCCAGAAATTCTATTCAGCCCTAATATAGTTGGGATTGACCAGTCTGGATTGGATGAAATGGTTGGTATCTCTATGAGAAGGTTTTCACCCAAGGGCCAAGGTTTGGAGGAGAAGTTGACCAGCTCCATCCTCTTGACAGGTGGAAGTTCTCAATTCCCTGGCTTGAGTGAGCGTTTGGAAGCTGGAGTCCGCATGATTCGGCCATGTGGGACTCCTATTAGAGTGATTAGGGCAAACGATCCTATATTTGATGCATGGCGAGGGGGTTCTTCGTATGCTGCTTCTTTGCATTTTCCGGAGCAAACTTTCACTAAAATGGATTATGAAGAAAAGGGTGAAGATTGGCTTCGGAGATACAAGTTTAGGTATACACTATGATTACTAGTGCACCAGATGAAAAGGTCCTCAAGTAGGAGTGAATTATTGATTCATACTGGTAGATCAGTAGATGTATAAAGGAAGTTTATGTTTCTTGTTAGTCAACTATTTTTAATCCATTGGCAAGATCATTTTAGCTAGAAACTAAGATAATTGCTTGACACACGTTTCGTCAAGATTTAGTTTTGTCAATACTCAATAGGGTAGATATCAAATTACAAATGCGGAAATTCCCAACATACATGAGAAGCTCAACACTTTTGATTGTCGATTGTCCAATGTAATTTCATACTATATATGAGGGTTTTTTTTTCTTTCTTTCTCCTATGAGTTAGCATTCCTAAATACATTGATGATTCATCAAATTACCCCCTTCGTCCTCAAAAAAACCATCCTAAAAACATTGATGATTCATCAACTTACTCCCTTCGTACTCAAATAAATCGTACTAATTAGTACAAAGTCATTTATTTTTTTATTTTTATTTTTTTTATGCTTGGTAAGAATTAGGGTATGTTATCTTCATCAAATTCATGATCGGCTTATGTATAAAAAGAGGTTGATAAAAATAATTAGGTGGATCGTAAACATTAACAGTAGCCAAAATCCAGCTCCAACCAACGGCTACCTACTTGTGTGGGCCCAATACACCAAAAGGATAAAAAAAATACAAAAAACAAAACAAGCTTCGTAGCTACGATTCGCAAAATTCGACCGTTGGAGTCACTCACCCTTTTAAACCAAACCTGTTCTTCATTTTCCTTTTTCCCTCTTTTTCTGTAAAATTCTCAGCTTCATTTCTTACCTTAAACCCTTTACTTGCTGACCGTTACAAATTAATTAAACCCTAATAATTAAATTAAATTGCCCTCTCTTTGCTTGATTAATTCATTATTTTGCAGAGAGAGTGGCATTTTAATTTCAATTTCACCCCAGAAATAAAGATTCAATCTTTTTGCTGAGAAATTGAAGAAAAAAAAAAGATGGAATTAGAACAAAGGAGGAAAAGTGGGATCAATCTTCCTTCTGGGATGTCACAAACATCCTTAAGATTGGAAACTCAAAGAACACCAACCTCAAAAACAGCAATTGAAACAACCCCATTTCGATCAAATCTATGTTTATCATCTCCTAGATCAGTTTCATCTCCTAGATCAATCACTAGCTTATCATCCGCAACATCGTCGCCGACATCGAAGAAATCGATTTGCAGTGACAGATTTATACCTTGCAGATCTTCTTCAAGGCTTCATACATTTGGGTTGATTGAGAAATCATCATCATCTTCTCCTAATGCTAAAAAAGAAGGGGGGAATCATGAGGCTTATACTAGGCTGTTAAAACAAGAATTGTTTGGTGCTGATTTTGTTGCTTCTCCTTGTTCTGCTGCAGGATCACCTATCAGTAGTCCTAACAAGAATATGCTGAGGTTCAAGATGGAGTATTCTTCCCCTAATTCAGCTTTCTCGCCTTCCGCCCTCGGCCGCGATTCTGGGTTTTCTAATGAGGTCTCTACCCCTCCTAAGCCCCCTAGAAGGGTTCCCAAGACACCCCATAAGGTATATTTTATCTTAAGGATTTTTTGTATATGTATTTATTCGACTGATTTTATTAGTGACATTATTGTTGAGTGAAGAGATTATTGTTTGGATTTTAGGTTTTGGATGCTCCTTCATTACAGGATGATTTCTACTTGAATTTGGTCATCTCAAAATTTGCTTGCTGTTGGACTTGGTACCTGTGTGTACTTGTGGAATGCATCTAACAGCAAAGTAAGTAGTCTTATGTTAGTAAATATTGCACTTATTTTAAGTTAGTGATAATTGAATTCCAAATCACAATCAAATTTGGTGCATTTGTTAGGTAGGTAGTAGATGTTAACTTATGGTTGAGCTAATTTGATCACTTATTAGTTATGATCCATTATTATGCTCCAACACTAGGTCAATTTACGATTTCTCAAGAAATCCCGGTCATGTATCTTGAGTGTATTTTTAATTGCAATTGTTTGTGCTTTACTAAAGATGGGATTTTTCCAATATGTATTTTAGGTAACAAAATTATGTGACTTGGGACCAAATGATGGTGTTTGTGCTGTTCAATGGACAAAAGAGGGATCCTATGTTTCAGTTGGAACAACTAGTGGTCAAGTTCAGGCAAGTGATTGTGCTAGAATCAGTCTTTATTCATTTTAAGTAAGTGTTAATGTAGACATGAATGTGTAACAATGGTTGATCTGGTTTAGGTATGGGATGGAACCCAATGCAAAAAGGTCAGAACTTTGAGTGGTCATCAAACAAGAGCTGGTGTTTTGGCATGGAGTTCGCGTATACTAGCCTCAGGAAGTAGAGACAGGAACATACTTCAACACGATCTACGTGTCCCGAATGACTATGTTAGCAAGCTTGTTGGACATAAATCTGAGGTAAAGGCAATACTGTCTTACTGGTATAGAGAGTACTAATATTTTATTGTTGCTGCGAATTCAATCATTTTTTGGTTTGTGATCATTTAATATTTGTTATATATGTCATTCTTTAGGTGTGTGGGTTGAAATGGTCTCATGATGATAGGGAACTTGCATCAGGAGGCAATGACAATCAGGTAATTAGATAGTATTCAATTTTCAAATAGTAAGTGGTTTCACAATCAAAGATATTCTGAAAGCTGACTGAGCAAATTTCATGAAAAAAATATTAGCTATTGGTATGGAACCAGCATTCTCAGCAGCCAGTTCTGAAACTGACTGAGCATACAGCTGCTGTGAAGGCCATAGCTTGGTCACCCCACCAGAGCGGTCTTCTAGCTTCTGGTGGCGGGACTGCAGACCGTTGTATTCGATTTTGGAATACTACAAATGGGAATCAGATAAATAGCATTGATACAGGAAGTCAGGTATGGTCATATTTTTATTTTACATGTCCTAGAATATTTATAGTTTGCACCAAATGTACTAAATTTCTGCATTGATATGGAATGAAGGTATGCAATCTTGCATGGAGTAAGAATGTGAATGAAATTGTTAGCACCCATGGGTATTCTCAGAATCAGATTATGGTGTGGAAGTATCCTTCACTTGCAAAGGTTGCTACACTGACGGGACATAGTTTGCGTGTACTCTATCTCGCTGTTTCCCCTGATGGTCAGGTAATACAGTTCTGCTGTTTGCAGGATGTTATTCAATACGTTGCATAGTTTTTCTTAAATTTGCATTGTATTTATCCACTAATAAAGTATCTCCGATTTTGTAGACAATAGTTACTGGGGCAGGAGATGAGACCCTTAGGTTTTGGAATATCTTTCCTTCTGTTAAAACACCAGTATGTATGTAGGAACCTAGATTTTGCTGCTTAATTGAATTTAATAGATTCAGACTGTTAATTTTTCTTAAAAATTTTCAGGCACCAGTCAAAGAAACTGGTCTGTGGTCATTGGGGCGAACATATATTCGTTGAGACTATTCGGATTGAGTATCCAAGAGTGAGCATCAGCAGCATTATGTGGAGGTCCATAGAGATAGCAAGTAAATCTGTATAGTGGAATTTTGTATAGTCAAAAACTGGAAAATCTGTGACACGAAAATGTAGATGAAATTAGTTTTGCACAATGTATACACATGATAATTCATTTGTCTGAATTTCTTGTATGTTGAATTGGAATTCTTTCCTCAAATTGGTCCGCCAATAAGCTCACAGAGCCTACACAAAAGCCATTATACAATGATTTATTTCTCTGAATTTGTAAATTGGAATTTTATCCTCAAATCGGCTGTCAATAAAAACTCAAAGAACCTACACAAAAGCCATTATATATATAAACTATTGCAAAATCTGACCCTTTCAGAAATTCCAAACTTCATGGTCGCAGTCCACAAATCAAATATATTTCTCTTGAAGTTGATCTTGTAGCTTTGGGCCTCAACCATGACGCCTTTTTGAAGATTGGTTTGCAAATTTGACCAAATTCTACAAGAACACAAAACTGATGTAAGAACAGCAAATAGCTGCAGAAGGAGAAGCTTCAAAAGATTGGTCGCATAAACTATTGCAAAATCTGACCCTATCAGAAATTCCAAACTTCATGGTCGTAGTCCTTGACAAATCAAATATATTTCTCTTGAAGTTGATCTTGTAGCTTTGGGCCTCAAACATGATGCCTTTTTGAAGATTGGTTTGCAAATTTGACCAAATTCTACAAGAAAACAGAACTGATGTAAGAACAGCAAATAGCTGCATAAGGAGAAGCTTCAAAAGATTGGAAACAAACCTTTCATATCTTCACCCTCCAAAAGCTTAATGACAAGGTTGCCACCAGGAAGCAATATGCCCTTGTCATCAGCCTCTTCTTTCATATCAGGCTCGGCATCTTCTTGGGCAAGAGCAACACTTCCAACAGCCAGGTCAAGGGCTCGCATGCCTAACTCAGCCGACAAGGCTGCATCTTTCGACTTGATTCCAGAAACTAAGGGACACATATCTGATAGAATGACGGAAAATCCCTTCTGCATAACCAATCAATGACAGGTTTAATGCTTTGAATTATACAACTGTTGGTTCTCAACCTCAATAACTTGACGCGATGATCATATATTAGTCTAGTCTGTTCATAAAAATGAACTCAAGTTCTGTTCAAATTAGCTATATTATCAGCTATATGATTCTTTAGCATGAAATACATATGAATATATGATGACTATCGAGATATTACTCCAATCCTCAACCCTAAACTCCAAGTCTAAGCAAACTAGATTTACAGATACAAACAACAATATTTCATGCAAAATTGTAAATAGACAGGCTGTCTAAGACAATAATTTCATGCCAAAACATAGAAGCATGACATACCTTAGGGGAAAGTGACCTGATATGGTCCCTAGAAAGGCTCATAGCATCACCACAAACAGTTTGAACCCTAGCATCACAATAAGTAGAGGGAACTTTCACCTTCTACTCTGTGCAAAACACCAAAGGTTAATTACATTTCAAAAACTCCAATATCATAACAAGATTTCTTAATAGATAATTTACATAGAAATTAACCCAGAAGATGAATTTACCTTTAAGTCAATACCCACAACAGTCCCACCATTTTTGAGAGGACCCAAGCTCTGACAAGCTACCTGTCATACAAAAATCATAAGGAAAAACAATGCACACCACATGTTTGACGAAATGTCTAAAAGAGAAAAGAGCTAAAGAAAACCTGAAGCCAAGCGCCAGGAGCACAGCCCAGATCAAGCACAGATGAACCTGGCTTAATTAACTTGTATTTCTCTTGCAATTGCAGTAACTGCTCTTTCAATTTAATTCACCAGAAAATTGTGGGAAAATAATAATAATAAAAAAAAAAAAAAATTAGAGCAAATTATACATTGTACGAGAAAAAAAAAAAAAAGCAAAAAAAAAACCTTGAAAGCAGAACGAGCAACATAGCCAAGTCGTTGAGCTTCTCTGTAGAAGAAGTCTGGAACTCCTGCTCCGCTCATCCTTCTCTTTCTTTCGGCAACCTTTGTAGTTTGACTGTTTAACTTAATTAGTCTACCAAGTTAATCCGCAACTCGTGAGATAATTATTGGTACGAGCTTGCTAATCTGGGTCGCTTGTTAGTATTTGCCTTATGAATTACTCCGTACTTGTATTGTTTAGAGTACCCGGGTTTGAATCTTGACAATGGAAAAATCCTCCTATAAATTTATATTTATGCTCTTGATTAACTATGCTAAACCCGATTTGATTGGGATGTTTGAAACTCCTAAAACAAAAGAGAAAAACTTGAATATCTATATAGCCTAGCCTTATTCGAAGTTAATCGTTGTTGTAAATTAACTTGGTTACTCTTACCGCAAGCAATAAGCAAAGCCATAATGAAAAAGCAAATAGTACAAAGGCTTCTTTTTAGTGTTAAATTTTTGAAACACATAAAAGGGGGTGTTTGACAATTTACTTTTTGCCTAACTTTTGGCTTTTTAGTTTGGTCAAACAGCCAAAAAATATGTTTGGTAATTGGCTTTTTTATTGGCTTTTCCGCCAAAAGCCAAAAGCTAATAAGAGTAGCTTTTTCTATTGGCTTTTGGCTTGTTGGTTCACTTTATCACTAATAAACAGCTAACAACCATTAATAATTTTACCAAACACTTTTGTAACAGCTAGCTTAAGCAACTAAACTTAAAAAGTCAATCCATACAGCTAATACTTCCAGCTAGTCCAACAAGTCAAGCAAACAAGCAAACAGTCAACCGCCGATTGCCAAACAACCCCTAGATGATACAATTCAAATGTTTGCTACTATTTACCCAATCAAAAACTTGGAACTTATATGAGAAAGATACAGGCATTTCTAGTAGCTACACTATTGCATTGAAAAAAAAAACAGTAGCACTTCCTAGGTACGTTGCACTGACACTTAGGTAATGCAACTCGTATACATGCCACACGCTTTCATATGGTTCTTCTCCTACAAAACAAAAATAAAAACAACAGAAGATTTCCTCAGAAAACCCTCAAAAAACAGCAGAAAATACAGCAGTTCAATTCCCCTGGCTTTCTTAAGCTGTATGATGTTTTTGCGCTTGAAGGGTCATATTGTCCAACTTTGGAATCCTTCAGCTAAAAATTGTTTTGATCGTATAATGCTAAAATACAAAAATACTGTTAGAGGTTAGTATAGCTTGCACGTTGACTGACATTAGTTCTGCCTTAATCGCCAGGACCACCACCCCCAATAAGAGTAATCTCCCAAACCCGAAAAAAAAAGGTCTCTGCAATATAATATCAGAGTAATCTCCCAAGAAGATGAACTGCACATCAACAGGGCAAAGAAGCGCTTCTCAACTATCACAATGTCAGACACTTGATGTGTGGTAATTGGTAAGCAGCGGCTTCATTTCTCCTTGACCTGCAAAGGAGAAAATGTTAGACTAGGGAGTACGTAAAAGGCTAGGTAAACAAATTAAGCGGACAAATGCACATTGATTGGCCTTTTACCAAGTCATATGAAGTGAGAACTGAGATGCAAACAATAATATTTGACACACTTCAGCACGAGTCGGGCTTCTGCATAAAATTCTTGATCAACCTTTTTTAGGGCCTAAAAGATCTTCATAGACAGGCTTCCAAATTGAGAGAGCATAGACAATTCTACCCTTCCATCCCTGCAACAACCAATGCCCGTCTTCATCAATGGAATAATCTTTATGATACACAGATTTCACCCTCTTTTTTGCCATATTCAATATCTCAGGGTTCAAAGGCAGCTGTCTGAATCCAGCCCTTTCATTTCGGACTTGCCACTGCTTGTATGTCTCTGGCCTTTCTATTCTTTCTAAACCCTCACAGGCAATCACATTCATCGCTTGTCGCCCAAATATCTCTCTCTCAATCAGTATCCTTTCTTGAATATCCCGGGGAAGATTAGTCTCAAGCATATCAAAAAGAGTTGAGAAATGGAAGAGAGCCTCACGGAATCGAGTAATGAAAAAGGGGGAATTGAAAGCCCCGTTAACTACACCGTGTATGAAGATAGCTGGCTTTATCTGCTTTATGAGGTTAAGAACCATATCTCTTGGGCATTCTACCATTGCTGTTTCCTCAGGTACATATTTTAATCTGAACATACAGTTCACAACAAGCACCTCATCACTATCAATCTTCAGATCTTCAACAGTAAGTGTTTCCCACTTCTTCGCCACAGCATTGAACTCGAATGGTATATTAAATGACTCTGCATAATTCTTCAAACGACGCCCTGTCTCTTCTACCCTTTTGGCAGGCCGAAACCCTGGTTGTGGAAGATCAACTCCAGTAATACGAATTCTGGGGGGGCCACCAGGTCTTGATGAAAGGCGCTGAAATAGACAAGGCCATTGAAAACCGTAGACTATACCAATATCAATTATATGAAGTCGTGTAGCTTTCTCTGCCACTGCTGTAATCGTTCTATTAGAGAAGAAATTTCCAATTTTCTTAAAAGGGCATACAGCTAAAAACATGTGGTAAGCTCTCAAGATATCAACAGCAGATGCCGGACCAGTGAGAAGACAACTATATATAGGAGTTCCAACACCAGCAAGGCGTGCCTCTAATCCATCTGCAAAATAGTGTGCCATTCTTTGATTTCCATCTCCCGTGGGAGAAGAATATTGTCTAATTTGCTTAAGCAAGTCATTTGCGTTCCTTTGATCATTTGATCCAACAGCTTGTGCACAAAGGCTTAAGAGTGATCTTAAATCTATTACCTCTCTCCTGCTGCCTTGTCTCCTCCCACGTCCTCTCCCACCACTAGATCCCTTTGGCTGAGAATTTTGTGCATTTTTGTTTAGTCCACTCTGTAAAACTTCCCGAAGAGCAGCATCATTTTTACCTCCACTACACAATAACACCTTATCGAACATTTCCGATCTCATAACTGCCTCATCAGAAGCATGGGAAACAGCTGACTGTTTGTTTCCCCTCCTTTCCTCTAACTGAAACTCATCTCGATTACGGTGTTTTGTTCCAATCAACAACTCTGCTGGAATCTCATTCTTATGCATGTTTTCCAGCTTAATTACTGCATCATGGGATGCTGCACCCACTAGCTTCTGAGAGGAGCCATTGTTCATCAAATCTTTGGACAGAAGAACATTCGGAAGAAACTTGCTCGCTTCCTTGAGCCCTTTTTGAAACTGCAACATTGACTGACTATCATTGAATATCTCAGACACATTAAGGGCACTCACAGGAGATTCCGCTGTTGCATCCACTAAACCAAAAGGATTACTCGCTGTACTATATGGTGAATCAAAGTTAAAATGAACATCATATTGCCTCCCTGAACTATTTGATGAACTGTATGATGTTTGCAATGACAAATTTGAGGAAGGCTTGGAAAAATCAACTATAGGTACAGGGTTATATTCATAAGGATTAACAGGCCAACTAGGGTGCACAAGGCCGCTACTACTACTCGCTCCACTGTAACTGTCAGTGATCAAACTGCCAGCACCATTGACATTCCAGCTATCATGCTTAGCTTTAGGCAAGTTATATAGGTTTTGTGGTGAAGGATACTGCTCCCCTATGACCTCATACAATGTTTTCTCTGTTGCTTCGAGAGCTGAAGGCTCGTGATGTGAACGGGTTTTCTCTTCCTCATCCTCTTCCATCAGAACTTGAGTGATGTACTTAAGAACAACATCACTAAGATCATAATCTTCGTGAAGGGATGAATCAGTTTCCGGACTTACTGATGGTACACCCACATTAAAATTCGGATTTTGGTGAATCAATGGAGGATTTGCAAAACTCAAATTCAAATTGGGATCTTGCAATTTTGCCGTATCAAAATGATTGTTACTTGCTAAAATAGGAACCTTCTGATCATTGAACTTGATTCGATGCAAAGTCCCATATAACTCTTCTAATTGTGGATCCATATGCACAAACTATAACCAATATGAATCGCAGCAACATGAAAAATGACAAAATAAACAAAATCAGCAACTTTTTCTAATAGTAATAACCTCCATATAACCCTAACGAAGGATTAAATATCAATATTTCAACACAATTAATCCACTTCTGACAAGATAAACAAATTCAACATAAATCTTATAAACAAAAATACCCAGATGACAAATTCGGATATTGCACACATATCTCAGCTTAAACCTCATTTAAAAAAAAAAAAAAAAAAAAAAAACCTACAGTAAAATCAATCAAAATACAGAAATTAGATATACCCAGTTCAAAATTCAGCTTATATTACACAAATATCAGCTTAAAGACCAACAAATATGGTAAATTAATAATAAACATATATATACATTTCAAAATTCAGCTTTATATCACACAAATCTCAACTTAAACCCAATAAATGAGCTTAATACTAAAAAAAAAAAACCAATATAAAATTTTAGCTAATTTCATACTCGTACAAATCTCAACTTAAAACCCAATATAACCTCTAAATAACATTAGTAAAAATACAAGTAACAATAAAAATGAGTAATAAACATCAAAATTAAGTCTTGAGAAACGATATAAATACCTGAACATAAACACTTGAAAGGGGAGAGAGAGAAATTTAAAAGAGTCAACTTTCCGAGCTAAAACCCTTGAGAGAGATACAGAAAAAGGATCTTGAAAGAAAATAGATGCGCAAAAAAGCGGTTTGTTTGATGATATCCTCAGAAAATAAATATAAATAAAAACACAGTATTTATATTATTCAAAGATTCGGAATTATATAAATACAGTGACTCAGTTCCACATTATATTTGCTTTGATTTTGGAGTTTTATTATTAACATAATTACAATTAGCGAGTGGCTTACTTTCTTAAGCGCACTCGCTTTTTTTTTTTTAAAATAATTTTTTTTTGACGTCTGTGATTAGCCACTAATTATTCTTTTACTGAATTTGACTATTTTTATATTGTTCTTTTTGCTAAAAGAGGAATGATTAGCATATACTTAGATTTATTAATAATTTTTGTGTCAAATCATTCATCTCACTAATCCTTGCAATTTAATTGCAATATTTGGATTTTAAACACCGAGCACTTTCTTTTTAATTATACATTGTAAATTTGTGATCTATAAAAGTAATTTATGGAGTAATATTTAAGGATCTTGCTAACGAACACCCTCGAGGTGTTAGTGTTATTAATTTGAGAATACATATTAAAATCACGTGTCAATCGGTGTAATTAATATTTATTTTAATTTAATAAATCTACTTTTATTATCTAATCAAACGCCTTCAAGACGTTCGTTAGCTTTTGCCAATTTTTAATTCATTGTATAATTTTTACGGGTATAATTAAAAATATTTAAGGTTTAAATTGTGTTCGAAAAGAGTAACATTTCATGCTGTAATACAAGTATTAAAGAAATTGTACTAAGTATTTTGTAAATGTTTGTAGGTTTCCGTAGAAAGTTTTTATTATAAAAAAAATGGTGGAAATTAATTCAAGCTATCAGCAATATGTGGAAAATAATTCAAACAATGTATGGAGTATAAATGTTGCGATAAATGGGAGTGTTAGTTTGTATGGTTCCCTCTAGAGTTTCTCTTTTGGAAGGGTTTTTCTAGCCTCCATTGTTAGATTTTTTTCTGTTTTTTTGAAGGTGTTCCTTCACTCTTCTCTTTTTCTCTTTCATCTCTTTTCATTTGGTCTCAATTGTAAGTTTTTGTGGGGTTTTCCACCGGTATTTTTATTGACGATAAGCCCCAAAAAACTTTTTAATTGCTTTTAATAAATGGATTTCATCTTTATGATGATGATTAATTTCCGGAAGTATCTAGAAGGCTATATGAAGTTTATCACCCAAACAACTATTCATCCGTGGATTTCAAGCCTAATTCGTGCTAACTCATAAATTGTATTGCTTTGGATGAAGTTTTTTATTAAGGCGATCGTTGATCGAAGCTAGTTTTAAGGTGATTTGTACTTGTGTTGGAATTTTAGATTTTCTAGAAATTGTTTGTAAGTGCTGTTTGGCTATCTTTCATTAATAAAATTCTTTTTCTTCTTGTCAAAAAAAAATAATAAAAAAAAAATATTGTGATAAATAATCCAACTATTAACATACTTCATATTTATGAAGGATTAATAAAATTACATAAAAATTTAAACTTCAAAGGGTGTGTTCAACAACGGCTTTTAGTAGTCTTTACATTTTTTTTTTTGTTGGGGGTGAAATATCTACATAGATTATGCTCTACTACATGGACTAAATTAATAAGGGAGAAAATTTAAGCGGAAATACTCGTTGGGCTATGATCATGTGGAGCCGTGAAGGAGATGTTTTATACGAGTAGTCGAGTACTCTGTATGTAGTCACTAACTCACACTATTCACTAGTCGGTCTTCTGTTAGACATTTCCAGTTTTCCACGCTGAACTTTGGAAGAAGGATGGCAAATTGAACATTCATTTGCGCGTGTGGACCAGGTTATAAGCTGGGCTTAGGCATTTCTGATCCAGTAATCCTAGCCCATATACGAGTAATTGTTGGGCCCAGGGAAAAGCCCAAAAATAAAACCTTCCTAAATTTTGTTGGGCTTCACGCCAAAATACTTACACTTGCTAAGTTGGTTTTGGGCTTTTATTCGGATTAAGCCTGCATGGCTCTAGCATTGTGTTTTTCTCCCTATCAAGAGCCATCACATTGAGTGAGGAGACTAAGGAGTAAGGACTCAAGTAATAATCAAGATGTCAAAAACCGACCTCACTCAAGAAAAAACTCGACCTATGTTATGGATATACTTCGATTTAGAAAATTAGATTTCGAAAAATGATACATTGTCATGTTTTTGTGTTGGCTTTTGCTCAATAGTAGTCGCTAGTCATCGTAATAGTTGTTAGCTGCAATAAATTAATTCTCACAATAGTTTTTGAAAAAATAGTGTTAGTACATTATAACTAATCGGTAGATTAATATTAAAAGTGAACTATTTTCCAAGTTTTTTCTTTAGAGCTCACTACCTTCTTTCTTATATTTATTTTACAATCTAAAAGCTACTTTTATTTCAGATGTTGTGTTTTCACTTTCCAAACATTACCTGAAACTCTAACTTTTGTAAAATTTTAATATAATAAACTACGTTTTTATCATTTTTATCTTAGTAATTGTCGAACCTTGCCAAAGAAGGTATGTACATAAGATTGTTATACAATCATATATTATTGATATTGGATACGCACCTTAAAAAAATAGATCTAGATTTGGTTTTTGTGGTGGCTCCAATTGATACAAGTTTGATACTTCCTTTACAATGGCAGCTTATACGGGTTGGAAATGGAATTGCCAGACTGGTACTTAACTAGTTGTAATGTGTCTTCCTGCTAAATTAAACTACACTATACATATTTGTTTTTGTTACCAATTAATTCATATTACACACTTTATATAATATGGTCCATGAATTAATCTCTGATTATGGCCTATGCATGTGCAAGCACCTGTATTGCCAATCTGGTTTACGTTACAATTTTATAACCCAAAAAATGATATAAAGAAAAAAAAAAAAAAAGCAATTGAATATAATTCGTTGGAATATTAATTTAATTCCCTCTTTTTTATATAATAATTATTCAAAGAAGAAAAAAAAAAAAAAAACAGTTAGGAAGTCTCAGTTCACAAGAAACCTTTTTACATGCATATGGCCCTCCCTTCTCACTGGGAACCATCTTAGATGTTTGAGATAACATGATTGGTTCCCCTTAAAAGGGCAAATATAAGGTTTTATTTATTTGTCCAGTTTTATTTATTTTTTTACTCTTTAATGTTTTTGTGATTGAATTAAAAAAATGCTTATAGGTGTATCATATTCATATGTCTAAAGTATTTTCACTCATCTTTTTTTTTTTTAAATTATTTGGCAAACTCTATCTTAAAAGTATACATGATCATCCATTTTTTTTTTTTAAAAAAAAAAAAAAAGTATACATGATCAAAATTCAATGTGTTCTGTATTAATACCAAATTATACATACAGTAACATTCTCGTAAATTTTAAATTAAAACGAATTATATCGTTTTGTGAAATATCCTTATTGAGTTACTTTTTATGGAGTACAGAGTACTATTTCCTTTGGATATTTTTTTTTCTTGACCTTACTGACTTATTTATATATATACTCTTTTGATTATGTCATGTGAGATCCAGAATTGTATCAGGAAATCAATATACTCTGCACTTTTTTACTTATTAAAAATTAAAGATATTAATGGTTACTATGATGCATTAATAATCATGATATTTATATTACAATACTTTTTACTATAGTTTTTAATTTATTAAAAAATTAAAGATATTAATAGTTAAAATGAAGTACGAAGTATTAATAATCATGATAAATAAAGATGAAGTACATAAAAATGAAAGTAACGTAAACAAACAAATAAAAAAATAAATAAAGAGGAGATAATAAAAGAAAGTAGAAAGAATCACATGGCGTAACATGGAAGGAGAGAGAAATGTAGAGCGGTGATCTCATATTGATGGCAATCTATATATGTAGAATACTAGAATGGTAGTGTAGCTTAAAGATGCTTAGCTTACCAGCTAATTGACCAACTGCCGCGTACCGTTTTTAGCTTTTCTTCCTCTCTTTAAGTTGGTCATCCAGACGCCACTCTTAACCTAATATTATTACAAACCATTATTTCTATAATAATCTATTTATGTTACCTCATCATTTATTACCGATCACCTTCTTGTTTCATGTGAAATTATATCCATTTATTTATACAACGTTTGCAAGTAACATGCATCATATGCAAGTTATTTATCCATCATAATCTAAGTTAATTTTAACAGCGGTGTAGTGGTGGTTTATGTGCAGTGGGATTGTAGAGTTGTTTCTTTTTATTCTTCTCATTTGTATTCTTAGCACTGTTCATAAGATGAGTGAATCTTTTAAATAAATACTCTCAAGTCTCAACATATATAAAATACTTTGTATGTCATAAATTCAAAGTCATGTTAATTAAGTCTTATTTAAGTGAGAGTGAGAGATAACTCAAGTGGTTAGAGCTTCCTTTCCGATTTCAGGAAATCTTAGGATCGATTCTCATCACCCGTCCTTGTGGCTCTCCAAACACCAAAAAAAAAAAGTGTCTTATTTAAGTCTTAATGAATATTAATAATACTTCGTATTTTATTAATATTCATTTATTATATTTTTCTTTTACTAATATACAACTAAAGATATTTATGTCAAAATAATGCATTAACAAATGTACAAAATCATAATAAATGTACTCCTTAGTCCTTAATAATTTAAAGTGTAGTTATTTCATGATACTAATAAATTCATAATAAAATCATTCAACATTGTTTGGTTTAAAAAAACAAAAAAGCATATTAGGTGGTTTTGGCAAAATAAATAAAAAAAATTAAAAATAAATGATGGTGGAGTAAAGATCAATTTTGCTTTTACCCTCTTTTCAGTCCATTTTGGTGTACCTACTGATCAAAAACCG